ATTTCATCTATTCCCTATTGAGTTGAGATATTTGATCATATACTACATTCCTGGATGTACAGGGAGACTTCAAAAAGTTCGATGTTCCATTGTGACAACAAACCATAATTTATTTAACTAGCCCCTCCTGATGGGCATTTGGGTCGTTTCCAATCTGTTGCTATTGCAAACAAAGCTGCAGTGAATAACCTGGTACCGTCATCATTTGGCATGCCGACAAGTAGATCCGTAGGATAAATTCTCACAAGCTGAATTCCTGGGTCAGAAGGTATATACATTTAAATTTTGATAGATATTGCCTTTCGAGAGTTGAGCCAATTTAACACTCTCACCAGTAATTTTCAGGTGCCTTTTTCTAAAGAATGTACCAACAGAGTGTATCATCGAAGTTCTGGATTTTTGCCAGTTTGAAAAATGAAAAATGGTATTTGCATTCTCCTCATTACGAGTTTAGCATCTTTTTAAATGTTTAAAAGCCAATTGCACTTCCTTTTCTGTAAATTATCTGTTCATAACCTTCGCCTATTTTTATAATGGGTGTTGGTGCTTTTCTTATTAATTTCTAGAAGCTTCTTTGTATTAGGGATTAAGGCTGTATAAAGGCTTTCTTCATGCTAAAACTATAAGTGAATTCTCCTTTTTTCATACTTAAACAGGGTTTTGTTTGTTTGTTTGTTTTTATGTTTAACTAAATGAAAAAATAATATATTAGTTAAGACCAGAAACTCTAGCACCAACTGCCTATGCCTAGGTTCATATCCCATCTCCACTACTTAGTAACTCTGTGACCTTAGATAAGTCATCTGGCCTCTCTGGACCTCAGTTTCACATCTATAAATGGGGGTAGCAATAGTTAGGACCTCCTCCAGTTACTGTGAGGATTAAATGTGTTAGTAAATGTAAAGCATCTGCCTGGCAGATAGTACTCAGTAAGTACGAGCTATTATTATCATTGTTTCTGTTTGGAATTTGTCCTAGTTTGAGGTGTGAAGCAGAGATCCAACTTTTTCATATAGCTATCCAGTTGTCCTAACATCATTTACTGAATATTTCATCTATTCCCTATTGAGTTGAGATATTTGATCATATACTACATTCCTGGATGTACAGGGAGACTTCAAAAAGTTCGTGGAAAATGGAATTGACATACAAGTTTATTTTGGTACAAAAACATTTTAAATTCATATAAGGTTGTGACATCTTTTTTTTCTCCTTGATTCAATTACATGATAAATTATATTAGTAAATTTCCTACCATTGACCCACCATTGCATTCTGGGACTAAATCCCATTGCTGGATTCTGTTTACTCATATTTATTTAGCAATTTGCATCAATATTCATAAGTGAAACTAGTCTGTAGTTCTCTATGCAATGTTTACTGGGTATGATTTCAAAGTTATACTTTCATCTTAAAAAAATGTCTGGGGGACCAGCAGATGGCATAATGGTTACATCACTGGACCCACACATAGTCAACTGCAGTTTGAGTTCCAGACCTGGTGACTTTAAACTCACACAGGGTATGTGTGCATGTATGCCCAAGATCCTGAAAGGAGAATGGAAGAGAAGGGATTATGGCATGGCCATCCCCCCAGAGGGATAATTTCTCACTTTCTGTTTCTCTGTCTCTCTCTCTCTCCAGCCAGCGCACGTGCCCTATAGCAAAACTCTAAATAATAATAATAATAATACAATGTTTCTCTCAGTTTAAATAGCATTGAATTTATCTGCTTTTTAAATATTTGGTAGACGTTCTCTGTGAAACTGGGCACAAGACTTTGGGAAGCGCTAACTCCAATTTTACTTCTTTTATGAAAATTGAGCTGTTTAAATTTTCTGCCTCTTCTGGGGTCAGTGACAAGTATATTTTCCTAACATATTATGCACATTATGAAAAAACTATATATGAATTTCAAAATCATTTACACCAAAATAAACTCACAACTATAATTTCATTTTTCCATGAACTTTTTAAATTCCCCTATGTCAGGCCAAGTACAGTGCCATCTGCCCTACCAGCCAGGAGTGCTGTCCAGAAGCCCCCCCGACCCAAATAGAGCCTGCTGCAAATGAGGCTATCTAGTGCAGGGTCTGTTTAAATCAATCACCACAGTAGGCCTGCTCATGTTCTCATGCAGTTTAGGAAGCCTGGGAGAAAACAAATACTGTAAAAGTTTGAAGGTTTGAATTTTATCTTCTTGCAAAGTGGAAATCTACCACTAGACCACAGTTTATAAAAGGGCTGGATTTCCTTAAGAATACAAAAAAGGTAGTATTAAAGATAAAGCGATAATCCTTAACACCAAAAGTGTGTGGTTCACAGTGCACACCGGTTACTACACTGAGACGAGACACAAAAAATAAGGGTCTTGTCTTCTAACGTCAGGATGCAAAAAACATCATAAAGGTACTGTAGAGAAGTGAAGAGATCAACAGGATAGAACATAGAAGGGAGACAAATTCACCTTTCAAAACAGAAATATTAGGTCCATACATTTAACTTTACAGCCACTAAACTTACTAAAGAAATTACAACACTACCTGTCACTGGGGCCAATTGGAACTTTCAGCAAACTATCAAAGCAAGAATACTCACAGGAGTAGAGATTACAAAAGAAATAATTCAAAATTTAAATTCTTTCTGGAAGAAAAAAGTTAAAACAGATGAACAATAAGAAAAAAGAAAGAAAAAGAAAGTCGTTTACTGGCCCAGATAGAGATGTGTGGGTGTACCAAAGCATGACTATATAAAAAGAAGAGCTTCGAAGGTAACCTAGTCTTGAGGTTTTGCCACTGGAGTTATTTTTTTGGACATTAAAAAAAAAAATAAATTAGTTGACTCACTCTTGAAGTCTGTTAATTTGTTACTAAAGTGCCATTAACATACTGGGAATCTGGGAAGATTTTAGTTCAAAAAAAGCCAAACCAAATTTTGCTCAACTTTGATCTTGAACCAGTTTGTAATCTGACCAAGAGCTTTCAGATTCTTCAGGACTTTTTGTTGTATGGGAAGATAAAGCATAATATAAAGTGCAGTGCGTAAAGAGAAGGCATAATATAAAGTGAAGACGTTCAGCACTTTAAATGTCCATTAATTAATACTGCCTTGTAAAAGAGAATGTATTTTTAAGGTAAATTTATAAATTCAGATAATTGATTATATGGTTTCTATATATGTATGTATGTGTGTATATATATATATATATATACACACATACATACATATATTTTTTTTACATAATAAAAAGTTTATTAAGAAATGTACATGACCTGATTTTTACATCATAGTAAACAGGCCCATTGTCAAGGGGACATAGGTTTTTCAGCTGAACGGCCATTACTTATAATCGTTCCAAGACTTCTAACATGATATTATTTCCTCGTATTACCACCATTTCAATATTGTTCTGTGGCCCTCTAGTTGCCATCTCTATACAGTCATCAATCACAAGATTCATAAATGGATCAAATTCCCGCAGTATTCCTTGGACACGTCTGCCACCATTTAATTTCAATGATAACTTCTTTTCCATAATGTTTTTCAACTTGGGAGGGTGAGCTTTGCTCATGGTACCTACCTGGCGGGCTCAGAGATGCCTTTTCTATATATGTGTATTCTTTAAATGATCGAGGGGTTTTTTTGTTTTTGTTTTTTTCCCCAAAACTCAATCTCTGAATTTGAGTCTAAATCCAAAATATACTTCTAGGGCTAAGGGTGAATTCAAGGTGACAGGACGGAGGCCACAGGACTAGAAACTGCTAATTAGGTGAATAAGAGTTTCCAAACTAATTCATATCCAAAAAAAACCTCTGCCTTTTCTAAACTCATACTGAGCATTCTAGGATATGGCAAACCCTCCATAGGACCGCCTCCTATCCCAACAATTCTTGAAGGAAAAGGAAAATCAAAGAATGCTTAGAAAATGTTTAAATACAGAATTTCTTCAGCATTGAGCTATACGTAAACGATTAAACTTAGTCCTCCCACAGGTCTAAGGCAATGGTCTACAAACCACGATGTGCATTAGAATAACCAGGATGACCTGCATTAGAATAACCAGGACCGCTTGATTTACAGAGGGACTGTTGGGCTCCACTCCAGTCTCTTCTTGTGCAACTAAAAGAATTCCTCCCCACCCCAGGTGACGCTAACGCTGCTGGGGGAGGACGGTGGCACTTTTGAGAAGCACTGCACTAAGGCTCAAAAGAGGGTCCTCCTAATACCGCTCAAAGTAGACCCGTGCTGTCTGCAACAAGAATTGAGCAAGCGCCTGGAAACTTTTATAGCAGTGGCACATTCCTGGGCATCCAAGCACGTGGTCGTTTTTCTCGGATTTCGTCTTTATTGTATTTTCCAAAAGCATCAGTATGGGAATGACTGGCAAGTTTGAAACGTTTCAGAAGCAGGGCTCTAAGGCGGCCACCTCCGCACTAGCGATCACCAGCGCAGCCCCCGTGAATTGACGGGCCGTCCGGCAACCCTAGAGATTAACGGCAGGATAACGGGCGTAATTCTTGCAGCCAGAACACTGGCCTGTGATGCAACTTCTAAACTGACATTTTCATCTTTCTGTCTCACTCAGGCGCTTCCTGGGACAGCATACCCGCGCTATCTCTGCAGGTGGCTGGTGTTCAGCAGCCGGGGCGAAGAAAGGAAAGGACAGAACAGGCGCTAAGAGGGGCAGGGATACCCTCGGCGTCTGTGCCGTGCAAAGCCAGAGCCCCCAGATGAAGCAGACTCACACACTAGATCGCTTCATGCCGTCCTGTTTTGTACTGGGGGATCAGGAGCTAAACAAAGGGAGAGGAGCATCGGCTCGAGCTCAGCACCGCAGAGCGCCCTCTTCCCCGCCCCGGCCAACTCCCCTCCGCGCCTGCGCAGACTCCGAACCTACGACTCGAGCAAGACTAGCCCGCGGTTTCCTTCCGGGCAAGCGGAGGACACTAGCGCGCATGCGCAGCGGCGAGGCCCGCACCCTCTACTTTCCAGGTCCTTACCAGCCACTGGGGTCGATTCCTTCCGGCCGGGCAGGGCCTGCTGCGGGCTCACGATCTTTGAGGCGGAGTCGCCCATCCTTGCGATTGGGAAGACGCTGTGGAGGAGCTGGCGAGCCCTCCC